ACCAATATCGAGATAACTCGAAACAAATTGCCGAAACACTGCCGATAGATGTTATACGGTGTCCTGATCACAAATACATTCGTTTTTGTCGCTAACGAAAAAAAAATGGCGCAAAAATGAAAAATGGTTTGGCGCGACCATCTTTTACCCTGAATCGATGGAAAAGCCTAATAGGGTTGGTTGAGACCCTGATCATGAAAATGGCACTTTCTTCGGCACCAGCGCAATTCATCGCCCTGCTTAGGCTGGGCCTGAGAACATGATTCCATCCCCGCCAGGCTCAGCCTAAAAGAGCGCAGATGATCACAGTGCCCTACTTTGACACTGGCGCCAAAAATGAACGTTATATTCGTGATCAGGTTGTCAACTAACCCCTAGGCATAAGTTTTCATCGATTTTGGTAACCAGCGATAATGCCAAGTTGGCGTCAAATCGCGCCAGCGTTAGAAATGAAGGGGATATTCGTGAATGTCAAATAGCCTCCGTATATAGGTTCTCGTCTTTTCCACATAGGTGAGATAGATGATGGCGTCAAACAGCGCCAGCGCCAGAAATGAATACCATTTTCGTGATCATGGCACTGAACAACCTTTGTGGCAAAGATCAATCGGAAAAAAGTTCTTGTAGTAGTCATCTTGGAATGCCGAAAACTGTCCTTCAAATCATATTCACTACCCCCCCCCCCCCTCAATGAACACGAACGCTTAATCGCTCAGCGCGAAAGCGCCTGGTACCTACACTACAGGCGGACGTAATCACAATCAATTTTTGGCTTCGATAGCTGTAGCACTGAAGGGCGTGCACTTCGTCAGACGGATGAAGTTCTGATTCAGAGGACTGAACTATCCCGAGCGATTACTTTTCAATGAATTCGGCGATTGAAGCGTTGCGAAGCGTTCACCTGCTGAACGAGTGAAACGATACTATTCGCTAGCTTAGGTCTAACAACGGTCCAAAGACAAAGTTCCCGCAGAAAAATTCCAGTGAAATCAATAAAATAACGAAACGTAATTGGAGTGAGTTTACTATAGCACTCACCTTGCCATCTACACGAAATTCTGACCCAGCATTGGTTACTGATCGGGTATAACTTCTCATACGTCCAGAATCCTCTTTATAGTTCAAGGTTACAGAACAACGATTTGACACCGGCTTTCCTATTGGGGCGCCATGGATTAGATCCTGAAAGAAGGTAAGCG